CAAAGTAATTTTTCCCTCGCTACGCTCGCTCCTTCTCGCAGAGGAGAGATATTCCCGGTGAAACCTAAAAGTGCCGCGAAACCCAGTTTGCTTCGCGTGACCCCTTTTGAAAGCTCGGCCATGCAGTTCAAGCACTTGAATAACGAATGTAACGACGTACCACCCCCGGTCGGCCGTTCTGCGATGTTGTGAGCGCGGATACTGGCTCGCATAAATTATATCGCGCTCTCTCTCTCTCTCTATCTCTCTCTCGCGCGCGCGCTATCTCGCATGTTGCGCTCACTCACTCGCGATTGTTGTGGCGAAAAATTTACGCGCGTCGTTAGCGCGCGTCCAAAACTTCGGTCCCACCTGGCGCAGCTGCCCCCCGCGTCGTCGGTCCCCTCCTGCCTGGCGAGGAGGGGACGGGAGGGATATTAATATTCGGCTCGTCACACTTAAACACGTTGCGTTGCCTTTTTAGCGCTCGCTCCAACCCCGATCGCCAAATCGACGCGTTAATTATGAAACGGGCAATATCGCGACGCCGCATACGAGCGCGGAATATCGAATCGCGGTCGACCGCTCAATTTAACCCTTTGCAGTCCCCCTCGTTCCGTGGGACAGAGATAGAAGCAAATTATTCGGCCGTGCAGGAAGAACGATGAAACTGTGCGCGGGAGCGCGCGCGATATCGTAATGTATGTATTAACGAGCCCCCAGGATAAACCGTTCATTAACCGAGATATTAATCGGACGAACGCGAATGAAGGACGCGATGAAAACAATAAGAACGATCGTGCGGAGTGAATCGTGCGATGCGATCGTGATAGAGTTGGAAAAGGAGGACGAGAGTCTCGCCTATTTTTGTGAGGCCCCTTCGCGGCCAGTGACACATCGCGTACCGTACTGAGAGAAGAATATAGTTATTTTCGGGGACAACAATATCCTTTTTTTCATTTCAACTACAAAAACCACTAGTTGAGAGAGCTATTTTTCTAGTAAATGTTGCTATAGTGTTAATGACAATGACCTGTCCTACGTGTATGTTGATATTACAATTTTTGTGGTTAAAATAAAAAAAGATATTGCCCACGAAAATAACCACATTTTTCTCTCAGTGTGATCGATCGAGGAGTGAGTAGGGGAGACTAACGTAGTATGTGTAGACAGCCGACTCAGTAAACAATCGATGGATTGAATCTTTGATGGCATCGATGCTGAATACATCTCTCTCTCTCTCTCTCTCTTTGAGCGCATTTTCTAGGTGGCTTGCTTGAACGACGCTCTTTTAATACCACCCTTTATTACCAGCCAGCATTTGGATGCAAGCCAGTTCGAGACTTTCTCCGCTGTTTCTCCCGCGCTTCCCCGACTTCCCTCTATCGCACAGCCGTTTCTATACTCGAGGATATTAGCGGCGGACTATATACGTCCAGGCGAAATGTATTCTCTGCTCTTTCAACGAAAGTGCAGTTGCGCAGCCGGCACAAAAATGTTTCAGAACGTGCAGTTTGCTGTTTGCGGATCTCGCGCAAATTTCGAGCGCGTTGGTACGCACATTTATACATTTTACACAGTTTACACATTTCGAACGCGTCTCGCCGTTTATTTTTCCCCAGCCGTAAATACGTATTGTTATGTACCGGGATATGCATTTTTAGGGGGAAATACGACAACTTTATATACATTTTCTAAATATAACGAAATATATGTAAAAAAAAAATATATATATATATATATATGTATATATATATATATATAATCTTAAAAATCTTGTAAGTAAAATATATAAAATAATAATCTCAACGTCAATATCGAGGCACATCCTGCGCACAGAAGTTAAAAATTTGAGTCAAGAGCAACGATTAAATTCGAAGGATAGACATGTTTGCACGAATGATTTGCCAACGGAAGATGGATCGCGGACGGGCGCGATTATGAAAATTCATTTCACAGACGAACGCAACCAATATCGTCTCATTAATGGCGAAAGCTAAGCGTGACACGCGCGACGACTGTAACGTCACTATTCGGCAACGCGGTTGAATAGATTCAGTCCAATATCAGTCGACTATAGGGACGGGCGAACGAGCGTCGTGTAATCGTTCGAGCCGGCCGGCCGGCGTAGGGTTTCAACAATATCGTTCGCGTGGCACTAAATCACTTTCTATTCATTAATCATCGAGCGCGGTGGGTCGCGTCACAGTAGATTTATATCTCATTTCGGCATTTCGCGCGCTCCATTAAATTCGCCCGGAGAGAGCGGGGAAAAATCCTCCTTCGTCAAATGATCGTGTTACATTACTGCGCTGCGACGCGCGCGTGCGCCCGACGGTGTCGCGGGTTTTCACGCGAAACTGCAATTTTTCGTCGACGCTCGCTACCGCGGAATGACGAGGAAACTTGACGGTAAACCACGCGTCGCGTATTTGCGAGAACGCTCGGCTGTTCCACGGTAAACCACGTCGCGCGTATTTGCGAGAACGCTTAACTTACTTCAGACGATTAGACGCTGTTTGCGCAAAACTGACGATAAATTGCGCTCTAAAAACGTTTCCTCTCCCTCTCTTTCCTCCTCTGTCTGTCTCTCGATGAAAACCAAGCCTTAACGATTTAACTTCCTTCTTCCCGGCCAGCTGCAACTTTTAATAAAGGGCTCGCTCGCGTTCAAACGCGACGGTACTTAACGGGACGCAAAGCGCGCGTCGACCGGGGCAACCTCGACAGTACGCTATGAAAATACGGGCGCGATGGCCCGCGAATACCCTAATCATTATTGCGATAATGAAAGTTACCGTCCGGCAAATATTTCCGTAAGACCGCCGAAAGTTCAAACATCGCCGAGGCGCGCTCCGTTCCTCTCTCACATCCGACGCGGAAAACGGTGTGGCCAGCCGAGTATGAACAAACCGCATTCTAGCGGTCAACGAGTAGTGCGGGTCGCCGTTTGGCCCGGTGGATACAGTTAAACGACATTGCTCGGCACTCAAGTAATTCTCGTTCTTTTGTACACGACGATCCTCGGCGCCACCGAGCTAATCTCTCTTGTACACGGATCCTCAGCCGGCTGGCGGACATTTTCCGGCGGGAGCGATCGAACTCCACGCTCTCTCGTTGCGGGCTCGCTATCGATTCGCCAGGCGATCCGATCGCGTGAAACTCGAAGATACAAGCGGACGGGAGCGCGGAATGGGAGAGAGAGGGAAAAGAAGAAAAGAAGAAGAAGAAGGAGGAAGAAAGCACTCTCGCCTCGTCTCCGCCGGGGATTAACGAGTTTCGTTCGGTCGAGCGATTATTGCCACTTTTATTTCGAGGATTCTCCGTTATTCCGATAACAAGACGAACCCGGAGAAAGCGGACCCGAGAGCGTGGCGAGAACGCGAAGCGTGACGTCCCTTCCCGTAATCGATTACCTACCGGAGAAAACCATCAGTCACCTTTCCGGAGTATTAGCGTTGTCGCGGAGGCGGAGTTTCCCACCCTTGATGAACAACCTCCGTAAACGGAATAACCCCCGTAACGGGGACCGAAGAGTTCGTGTGGCCGGTTCTTTTGCGTAATCCCGTATAACGTATGAGAACGCGCCACAGTTCGTCCCGCGGATTACACTCCGGCAAAGATAAACCCCGGGCATCGCGCGATGCTTTTCCTGCCGGTATTTGCAAGCCACCCGAAGGAGGGGGGCGGGGAAGAGCCGCGGAAAGTGAACAGCGAGAGCTTTGATACCTCGCTCGAGAAATAATTCACTGTTTCGCTCTCTGAATTGCAAATCTCGACGACAGAACGGGCAAACATCCGACGACGACGACGACGACGACGACGGTATCGTGAAAGCGCGCGGATGAGCGGGACTTAATAATTTATAATCCCTGTCAAAGCCGCGCGTTTCTCCCACTCGAAAATATATACCACTCGTTCCGGGTCTTCGGTTTCAAAGGGCGCGGAAGTGCAGCCGCGACAAAAGGCGAATTCTCCGTGTCTTCCACCGCCCTCTCTCTCTCTCTCTCTCTCTCTCTTTCTTTCGTTATTTTCCCCTCTCTCCTTCGGACCGCTTTCTTCGGAGGTCTGCCTTCGTTAACGCTAAATAATCCTGCAGAAATAACACGTTACTCTCTCTTTCTCTCTCTCTCTCTCTTTCGTGCGGCCTGCTAAATACATACGTCCGAAAAAGAGTATCGCGCGCGGGACGCACTTTATTATCTCTCTCTCTCTCTCTCTCTCTCTCGGCCATCATTCGAGTCATTCGTTTTTCCCCACTGGGCAATTCACTCAACAAATTGCCGGGAAAAAGCCTCTTTGACGTGGGATCTCTGATAACAGAGCTAGCTTTACACGGTAGATAACCCGGGACTCGAGCGAAAACTCATTTTCACACGACGCCCGAAGCAGTTGCCGTGTAATATTTCAGAAAATATTGAAAAATATCCCAACGTTTCCGCTCCTTGTTGCTGTATAAATAAAGCAGTCGTCCCCTCTCCCACCCCTCTTTATTGCGGATAATCAACATACCGTACCGCCGTACTTGCCGGCGAGCGTGCAATTGTACATCCGGCTAATTGGGCCTCTCCCGACTCTCGGAATATTCTGTCTGCACGCTTCGCTCGTTAAGGAGGAGGAGAAAGACCGCGCTTTTCGTATCCAGCGTTAAATCTTGATCCGCGAGAGAAAACTGCGGGGTAACACAGCGCTTACTCACACACATAGTACAATAATTATAACGAGAGCGAATGAAATTTCTCGCGCCTCGGTACGTTTCGGCGCGTGTGACGCGCGATGCGTCACGCACGATTCGCGCGCGATACATTAATGTTGACGCATTATAGTTGCATTATACTTCGGCCCGCGACATTGACATATTCTGTTTGCACATTTCGACTCGCCTCGCCGGCATGCCCGGCGGTTCGGGTGTAATTCATATACTTAAATAATAGCCGGCCCCGCGCATTCCGCGTAACAGCGACGTGTCCAGCATCGTGAAGATTAATCGGCTACCATTAGCTCTCTACCTTGTGTGACAGAGTGGCGGCCAGAGCGGTGTGTGGACAGCAAGCGTGATCATACTCTCGATCGGCACCTGGGTGGGCAAGGTCGGCCCACGTCCAGCGGATGGGGAGCTCGCGCTCCTGACGTCGCCGCGTGAGCGATTGGAAACCGTTCGGCAGGTTCTTTCCGAGGTGCCTTTGATCGACGGCCACAATGACCTACCGTGGAACATCCGGAACTTCGTTCACAACCAGCTGGCGGACTTCGACTTCGACAAGGACCTGCGCCAAGTCGCGCCCTGGAGCAAGAGCGCCTGGAGTCAGACCGACCTGGTCAGATTGCGGCAGGGCATGGTCGGCGGCCAGGTAAAAAAGAAACCCGCGGAGCTCGCAGATTTTCCCGCGGCTCGAGTCGCCGGGTAGCTTTTGACGAAAATCAAATAACGAATATCGACTTTTTACCGCGCGAAAGAGCCGATAAACCGGCCGTTAGTTGGCCGATGCAACGAGTCGCGTTATCACTCCGTGCACTCTCCGACTACCAGACCAGACCGGTAAGATATTTCATGCACGGAAATGAGTTTGAGGAAAAGAGAGACGCGAAAGTGATTTATGAGACTCGGCCCGGTAAAATGGTGTACAATATACTCCCGGAATGTACACCCGGTGCAGCCCGATTTCAATAACGGATCCTCCGACAAATATTTGCGGCTGATTTTTTCCGGCGTGCGACTCCCCGAAGATAGTCGTCGTCGTCGACTATCGGTATTTCTCGCGTTCTACACTCACCGCATTCCACGCTCGCGGTATTTCGTTGACGAGAACGTGAATGAAAATCCCTCGAGGGGAAATTCGGTCGGTCCAACGAAATCAAGTCGACGGATCGGATTTTTCCACGCGAAAAGGACACTTACTCGCGCGTTGATCTGCGTACGGTTCGCAGAGCGAGTTACGCGCGTTACCACGCCAGTAGGCAATCTAGACTGGAACCGAGAAGCGTACTATTACTGGTCGACGAGGCGGGTTTCGGGTGTTGGCGATATTATGAGCGTGACGGATCGAATGCATCGATTATCGTCGCACGCGAGCACTCAAGAGCTCGTTAGGTCTGAATGATGCGAGCATTAAACCCGTGTCACGCACCGAGTGACGGCGAAGTTCCTCAAAGGAAATATTTCTCGCGCTTCGAGACGCTGAAGAAGAAAGTCAAATTGCGCGCGATGATCACGCTGCACGTCGTTTGCGTCCCTCGCGCTAATGAGCTTTCAAGATAATAATAATATTGCCTGAGAAAGCGGAACGGAACATCCCCCTCTCCTCCCCATGCCGCTCGCATACCGGGAGCAACGAGGAAAAGAATTTCGTTCCACTGCAAAATGAAAAAAAAAATTACGCGCGGAACTACACACGGAGATTGGAAATTTGAAAGGTAAAACAATTTTTTTTCACGCTCGCGCGCGCGCGCATGTTCACGAGTTAAATTGCGAATTCCAGCGATTCGCGAGTCCCTTTGGCCGTCAGGCCAAGATTCCACGCTGTTACGACCTCGAATTGGATTCTCTTCGCACCTCCGCTCTCGTATAATGACAGGCACGCGACGTCCTCGCACGGAAAAAATAACTCCGTCCGCGGAAACTGAATTTTCCATTGTCTGGAAACCGGATGAAAATTCATTCTGAAGCAGAAGGATTCCCGTGGAAAAAAGGAATATTCGTGTTTTGAGAAAATCCGTATTCCCAACGTGTACATGTTGAAATAAGATTATATTGCGTTGAATAGATAAAATTCGCTTACGCTAAGAAATTCCATATATTAGTTCCGCTAAAAATATAATATTCTAAATAATTAATGTAATGATGATTTTATCGAGAAAAAAGAATTGAGAGTAAAGAAAGAATTTTAAACAGAAAACAGCTGTATCTTCAAAGAATTACGATTTCTTTAACTTGAAAGATTACATCATCTTTATTTGAATATATCTTATTCTTTGCGATCGCATCTCGTTTGCCCTGCAGTTTTGGGCCGCTTACGTGCCGTGCGAGTCTCAGCATCTCAACGCGGTCCAGCTGACTCTGGAGCAGGTGGACCTCATTAAGAGGCTCATAGAAAAGTACTCCCAGCACATGCAGTTCGCTGCGTCGTCGAGGGGTGAGTGTGAAGACAACTTCGTAATGTAAATCGTGGGCTCCGTATTGTTCTGACCGCGGAAATTTAGTATTTAGCGCTAAACGCGCTCTTCTGGCTTCACAAGCTGAAAATCAAGAAATTAGAAATTAAGAGGCCAATAAAAGTCAATGCACGGATATCTCAGTGCAATAAAATATCCGTACATTGGCTCTTATTCTACGTCTTTAATCATTTCGTCTGTTTGAATATATCTACAAGGTTTTTTATTTATATATATTTTTTTTCTGAAAATTAAAGTTACAAGTAGGCTCGAATAATCGCATTTAGCGCTCGTAATAGGCGCGATCACAATACGGAGAATTAGAAACGACGTTCGCAAAACACTGCCGGAGACAGTCCGGCGCAATCGAGACACGGCAATTTTGTTCGAGCGCATTTCTGAATTCCAGAGATCTTGGAGGCCCACGGCAGAGGCAGAATAGCTTCCCTGATTGGAGTGGAGGGCGGGCATAGTCTAGGAAGTAGTTTAGCCGTTTTAAGAACGCTCTATCAGCTGGGTGTGCGATACCTCACGCTGACACACACCTGTAACACACCGTGGGCGAAGAGTTCGTCGGTGGAAGACGACGACGAAGGAGGTAAACCCGACGCGAATTTAGGATAGGCATCTTTCTTACCGAAGAACTGCCGCAGAATCCGTTTATTTAGTAGCACGAATGTCCGTAACTTCATAAACTGAGCGAGTTCGGCGAAACTTGAAGATGCATGGTTGTTTATAATCCCTTTCGAATACTTTTCCTCGATAACGAAGTATTCGTCGAATTTCGTTCGATGTAGAATTAATCGCGTCACTTCGCCTCCCCCCCGAGACAAGGACGACGGGTATGACAAATTAATAATAAAGGCGCGATCTCTCACGTCTTCTTTATTAATGCCGTCGTCTTCTTTATTAATATAGTTCAACTGATTTATGAGATTTACGTGTCGCGAGCCTTTTAACGCGAGGCTCCATTAAAAGAATAAAAGCTGAAATAAGGCGATATATCTTCCAGGCGGGGGCCTGACGGCATTCGGTAGGGCGGTGGTCCAAGAAATGAATAGGCTCGGGATGCTGATAGACCTCAGCCACACCGCGAGGGCGACCATGAGGGATGCTCTGAGGGTCAGTAGAGCGCCGCTCATTTTTTCACACTCTTCGGCGTTCGCCATTTGTAATTCCTCCAGAAATGTGCCCGACGACATTCTCAAGCAACTGGTATGTACACAGAAATGTCTACTGTCACGTTAACTTGGTCTCCCATTCCTTCCATCAAGAGTGGCAACAATACAAAATACCATCATTATTATTATTATTAGTTGCTGTTTACTGGGAAATTAAAGCTTCGAGAACGATTTTACCCGTATACATGTGCTTGATCAGTTACATCCTTATCGAATCGTGTTCGCTTAAAAATTGAAAAGGGAAGCGGTGAACGAATTTTTTCGCTGAAACGCGAGCTTCGAGAAATCGACGGTCAAGAATATATCATAAAAAAATCGTCCCCTCTGCGTATGCGAGACAAAGTGCTGCGCTAATTACTAGCGTCGTTAATTGTATCAAAATCGCTCTCAACGGGAATCGTTCTGCTTCTCGGCGGCGAGAATCGTACTTGTAAAACGCGCGAGTAGACAATCGCCGATATAAAAAGCGACGAAGATAAAAACCCATTCCGTTTCCTCCGTCTGCTCCCCCTCTGTCTCTCCCCCCCCCCC